CATTTGCATCCTTTCCAGGAGAACACACATCTGCAATTACCTTCCTGACCCTCTGGTCTCCTTGTACTCTTGTCATTAAAGCACCAAATTCAGTTAAGCATTTTTCCTTCAAATAATGGATGCAAAGTTACAACTGGGCTCAGTTGGAAAGCCTCCCACAGCTCAGGGCAGGACTCACATGTGGTTATTGCTCTGCATTTGCTCTGGAGTTAACAAATTGCTATCTGCACGTGTATCATTCACAACTTTGCCAAACTAGTATAGCATGTAACATTGTCCTACTGCTGTCAGACCCTCACAGGGAGGTATTTATCTGTAAAGTGCATACAGAGCAAGACCAAATTAAAGCATTCTAAGAAAATTAACTCAGAAAATAGTCTGAGACTACAAACTGCATTGTCATGGTCATCTTTGCACTAGAAGAGTGTGCTCTGTCATGACCTTTCCTCTGCACGTCTAATCTGAATCTGCCTTCTGTCAGCTTAAGGCCATTTTGGCCTGGTCTTGTCACTGCTTGCCCTTACAAAAAGTCCCTCTCCAGCCTTCCTTTAGGCCCTCATTTTTATAAAACACCCAATAAAATATCCGGCACACTCTCACTTCAGCAAGGAGGCACTTCCAACTTTTGATGGCTTCCCCAACTTAAGCAATGACCCTTGATCTCAGGGCACAATGGGACCTGTCCACCCTTTGAGCCTCAAACCATGCCCACTATGAGAACATCCCATCATACCTCTTTCACTGCTTCCCTGAGCCCTGCCTACCCCAAAGCCAAGCCCTTCAGGTCCTCTCTTTGCTGGCTGGCTTGAAGATCAGCTTGTGATGCCACAGGATGATCTCAAAGGCTGTGTTCTCACTGATAGCCACTGAAGGTGAAAATAAAAAGCAAAGGTATTAAGAACACAAACCCAAAAGGAACCTGAAGCTGAGCTGTTAACAGAAGTGACTTCTTCATGGCACAGAAAACAGGAAACTACCACATTCAAGCTTTGGTTGTACTAATTGCAGCACTGACATCCAGCATGAGGTACTTGCAGACCTCCTTTCTCATTGTCCAACTTTGGGCAAGAAGATCAGGTTTTCCAAAGTATGTTGCTGAAAGAGACAGTGACAACTTCAAAAGGCAAGGCATGGTTCTCCCAAGACTCAGGATTTTTTCTCTCCCTAGTTATAGAGATTCCAACTTCTGCAGAGAACAGGCACTCCTAGACACAATTTGCCTCATCTGAGGACAGACACATGAAAATTGACTGGGGTTTGCTCTGGGGATCAGAGCCGCTGTTTTTTTCCAGTCAGAATGCAGAGGGGAGGGGGGAGTTCAGCTGGAGGCACCTGGCTGTAGGTGAACCCCAGCTCTGTGCCCACAGGGCCAGCACACAAAGTCAGGCTCTGCTGCAGAGACCACCAAACTGACTACTCCTCACACTTGTGCGAGAGTTTGACAACAATGTAGAGGTACAAGCAGAGTTTAGGTTTTAAAGCAGGAAAACTGAAAGCCAAGGCTATAGGGAGGACAGGATGGTGGCTGCACAGAGACCTACGATGAGCCCTGGGCTCTCAGACTGATGTGCCTCCAGCTGACTGTTACCACAGAATGGTGGCCAGCTCTCAAAGGTTTGCTCATTATAAAACCTGCACACACAGAGCCACAAGCAAAGCAGCTGTGTTTTCCAAAGTGCTTTTCCAGCTATTACTGGAAAAGTTACAGCTGGAAAACACCAAGGACACGGGTGTTGAGAGCCACTGGAAGAAAAGAGGTTACTGGCCAGGGAGGGATGAGGAGTTAGAAAGCAGCTGCTGCCAGCAGCAGGAGAAACTCGGGGAAAGAGTAGGAGGACACTTGTGAGGAAGAAAACTTCTGAGCTGGGTTGTTTCTAGATATACTTCATGAACAGTTTCAAGGATGCAGATTCCTGCACAGCAGCTGCCAAACAGCAGAGGCAGATAAGGACTGCTGCTCCAACACTGCCAACACAAGGCAGGTGAAACCACCACCTCCTACTCACAACCTGCTCCATCACCTTGGAGAGACCCTTAGGGAGACACTAACAGGGACCCCATCCACCTGCTTCCTGCATCACACTCAGACACAGAATCCCCCAGAAATACAGAATATTCTGACTTGAAAGGAACAAGGGCGTGACTGAGGCTCACCCAGACCCAGCCTGCCCTTGCTCCCACCTGCTGCAGACCTGGCTCACAGTGCAACTGAAGTGGTGACCACTTAGAACCTAAATACATCAGGCATTCCCTCAGCTTGCTGTGAATAAGCATCTCTCCTCAGAGCCCAAATCAGCCACTCTTAGTTGCTAATCTTCAGCTTCATATACGTTACCCTGCCTCACTCCCACTAGAGAATATTAAGGAATCATTAAACCAAGTCCTGCTGGAGGACTGCCCCAAACCCAGAATGGCAGATAGTAAATCAAGTCCTCAGGAATTCCAGTATTTCCTCCGAGATGGGGATGAAAACTCTGTATCTGCTTGCATAAGTGCAGCAGTCTGTTCATCTCTGTCTCCGCAGGAGCCAGGCTCCATGCAGCACAGATACCCTACAGCAGCACCTCGGTGTCTGTCAGGAGCTCCACAAAGCTCTCTCAGTATTGTCACAACAGTTTGGCCCTATAATCCTCTGGGCTCCATTTGCCTGAATTCAGTGAATGGAAAAACAAACAGCTCAGCTTGCAGCATCTTTCCAAAGGGTTTCAAAGGTAGGGGAGACAGGAAAGGTCCAGGCACCCAGTCCTCCCTAGGTCACTAATGCTCAGGGCCTTATGCTCAGCACACCAGGATTCACTCAAGCAGAGGATGAACATGACAAATCAGAACTTCTCCGATGCAGAGACAATATAGAATATCTTCTACCCCCACGTGCAAACAGAAATGCATCTTTGGAACCCAAATGTCTCCTGAGTATCAGTCCCAGTCTGAGCCCAGAGGAAGAAAGTCTCAGTGCTCAGCAGATGAACATGTGGCCTTGTCTGTGAAGGCAACACCGCCAACACCTCAAGACTTTTACCAGCCTCTTCTGATACCCTGGAATCACAAAGACTGACTCTTAACCAGAGTTTCATTGTAAGAGGTCTGTAAGTCAGTGTTTGATCCACTCCACCAAGAAGGAGCTTGGAAATGCCCTGGCTCATGTCTCTCTCATGTTCTTGTATGACTACCAAACACACCAACATTTTACACTCAGGTGGTCCAAGGTAATCAAGAACTCAAGTTACCCTTGGTTAAAATGTTAAAGGCACACAGACCAGACTTACGATTGTAGAGCAGCTGTAGCACTTTCTTCTCCCTCTTACACAAAAAAATTGCAACTTTAACCTCATTCCTTTCTCCTGTCTAATTCTAACCTGGATCTGCTGAGTTTGCCTTGATCAATCAGAAAAATGATGACTCCAGAGTAAAACCCCAACCCTTTAAAGACACCCCAGCATCAGGACATGATAGACTAAGCCAGGAAGAGGAAGAGTTTTTATTCAGGATAATGAAGAGACTTGGGCAAAATCTACTGTGTCTCAAAAGTAATCTAGGATTATACTTGTCACTTGATAATAAAACTGGAAATTGGCAAATATATTAATCTGAAAAGGATTTTTTCACCATTGCAGTTACTAAGTTGAAGAAGATGCACAGTTATACTTCAGTGGGAGAAACCACACCCAAAACCTGCAGTTCATCCCAGACATTCTTGCATGATTTTTGTTCTTGTGTCTTTTAATCATTCTGGTTTGGTATCAGCCAGAATAATCTATCATTCCGACACCACTACCTGGGAGAAAAGCAGGAAGCACAGCTTGGGAATAAAAGGTAAAGTCTCTGGGACCCAGAGAATACACAGTGCCGTGTAAGAAGAGAAAACTCTCTGGGATGGGAAGGAAGCAATAGCAGGCTGTGGGGATATTCAGTGGAACATTCTGAGCTACTATGAACAGCTCCCTGAAGAAAGGCTTCTTGGAGACATCAATGTGATACCCAGCAAAGCCAAGGGAAATTCACAGATGAAATATTTTCCTTCTTCTCCCATTGGAATGTTTCTGATTTTATGACACAAAATTGAGTTGTTATGAATACACTCACTGCTCTGCCACCATGCCAAGGTGATCTCGAGAACCAGCACATGCCACATGCCACAGTGCAGGACCTCCTGCTCCCTACTGGCTGGACAGCATGGGACACCAAAGGTACCACCAGTTAATTTATCAGTTGCCAGCAGACTCAAATCATCCCCTCTCTCTTCATTTTCATCATAAGAAATATCTGTGCTTCTGTTTGTTCAATCTGCAATTTGAGGAAATTCAGTTCTGCGTAATTAAGTAATGCTCCTCCTTGGAATGGGTATTACCACGAGATAATTAACCATGCTGGGAATCTGGTGTTTTGAGAAAGCAATCATGCTTAACAAATGACAAAGCCAAGTGCCTGTTGGGAATATTTGCTACAGAGGAAATTATCAGCATTATTAGCGCAGTTTTGCTTTCTATTAAATCCTCATTTACATTTCACTGCATGTTAATTTAGTTTTAAATTTTATATGACTTCTGAGTCTCTTGATCTGAATTGTTCAGGGTGTGCCTAAACCCACCTAAATTTGGAAGGCTGTCCCACCAGGCAACAGATGGGGGCTCCTGGGTCCCTGAGCCATCATAGGCAGTCAGCAAATAAAAAAATCCCACCAAAACGAGTAAGAGGAGTCATCCAACAGATTGATGTGTAATGGGGACACTAAGTGCAGGATTCCCATCACCACACTCTGCTTCACACAGAAGACCATGAGTCAGTGACCAACACAAGCAGAAGTGCTACCTGGATCGAGGAAAGAAGCACAGCCCAAATAAATTTTCAACCCCATCTTCCTCAATCACAAGGAATTCCAAGTAAGACACTGTATTTAACGTCAAGACATCTCCAGCTTAAGGGAAGTTTTAAGTATTTGTTTTCAAAGGCAGTCACTACCATACAGTAAAGTCACCAGTGGAAGTTTAGTTTACTTCTACCTTTATCACCAGAGATGTTTGCTCTTGCCACCAAGTTGTCAGGCAGAAGCTGAAGTCCAGGGAAGGATACTTTCACAGCCTCCAGAAGTTTCCACTTCCAGGGTTTTCTCTTCATCCACCTTCCTGATCAGATTGTCCATGGCTTCTCTCTGAGAGCTGCCTTCACAGCCATCCAAAGCTACCTGTAACAAAGAAACAGCCACAAAACTGTGACAGTCTCCTACAAACTCTTGGATTTGAACAGAGATCAGAAAAACAGCAACAGTACCACAATACTGCACTAGATCCTTACTCACTGGTTACACAATTTAACTGGAAGGGGTTGTAGGCTGGCAGTTACAGGAACACTCAAACATGGCTGAGGTGTAACAGACATGACACCTTGAAAACAAACCTGGTGGGTTCTTCCACCAAGTCCAGCTCTTGGAAGTGGCTGACAAGCAAAAACTACTTTAAAAAAACCCCCAAAAGTAGACTTAAAGAGAGTGTTCAAAACAACATTTCATGTAATATTTTTAGCGAATACTTTTTAAAACTGTCAGTCTCGTTTCACTTGTCTCTGCAATTTTTCTGCTTGCCATCAAAAAATTGATGGCCAGAAGAAAATACTCATATTATTTAAATAAGCACCTATTAACTGAATTATTATTTCTGTGACAAGGCCATGTGAAACATTTCTTATGTGAGATGCAACCACAGTAGTTTGGAAAAGCTCTATGATGCCAGTAAAATACCTAGAAGGCTCCTACAAGAGAGAGGCACTTGTCAAATACAGGCTGACCTCCTTTCCACCAGCACTGTGCTTCTGAGCAGAACCTCTGCAGCACACCAGCCCAGCTCCCTGATGTCAATAAGCACTACAGAGTCCTATCAATAAAATGATTAGTATCTGTCCTAAAACTAGTTACATTTTTGCTCCCTTTCCCCTGGTTGGTAAGCTCTTCCACAGCCTCATTCCCCTGCTGATTTTTCTAATTTTCAGCTGAAATTTATTCATGGCCAGTGTATGTCTGTTTATGTGCCAATATTATCTTTTAGCTTTAAAAGTCTTTTACACTCTCTGAGGTGTTTACCCTACCCTTCCTCTTTGATTTCATTATAAGAGCATGATCATTTTCCTTCTCAGTCTTCATTCTCCTTGTCTAGATAAGGCAGCTCCTATTATAAAACAGGTTCTACACCCCCTGGACTTCCCACTGCAGATCTGTCAAGCTCCAGTATGAATTCACCTTTTTTGAACCAGACTGGAACAGAAATTTTTGATGAGGTCTTTACTCTTAGTTCTTATTACTGCACCCAATGCACACCCTTCACTTCACACCACCACATCAGCCAGTTCTCACTACTCAGTTCTCCAGCCATGGAACTGGAGAACTGCATTAATGGAATGTGGAATCATAGAATCATTTAGGCTGGAAAAGCCCTCTAGGATCAAGATCCGCCATCAACTAGCACCACCACCATGTTCACCACTAGCCCATGTCCTCAAGTTACCACATCCAGATATATTTTAAACCTCTCCAAGGATGGTGACTCCACCATCCCTGCCTTGGGCAGCCTATGCCAGTGTTTGATAACCTTCACAGTGAAGAAATTTTTCCTAATATCCAATGTAAACCTCTCCTGGCACAACTTGAGGCTCTTTCATCTTATCCTGTTACTTGTTACATGGGAGGAGAAACCAACTCCCACCTGGCTTGGACCTCCTTTCAGGGAGTTACAGAGAGTGAGAAGGTCCCTCCTGAGCCTCCTTTTCTCCAGGATGAGCTGCCCCAACTCCCTTAGCCACTCCTTGTGTTCCTTCTCTGGACACTTCAGCTCTTCAGTGACTTTTTTGCTATGAGGAGCCCAAACAGTTCATTCTTCTCTCTCTTGCAGATCCTCCTCTGTGTAGGAAAAAGATTTTGATTGTGCTCATCATCAAGATTTGCTAAACATGCCTTGGTATTTTTGTGTCCATAAGATCAGTGTTAATATTAAGTACCAAGAATCCCACTAGTGACCTTGCTACAAGTTGTGAGTCCTGCCTTCAGCACAACCTGCGGTTGTTTACCAAAGAAATTCATCCTTTTTAGCATCACTGTTTCTCCTAGTTTAACAACTTCCTTACATGAAATTCAAATGCTTTGCTCTAGATCTAGACCAAGGCAGGAAAGAAAACCCCATTTTTACCTCATCAAATAAAGAACCCAGGTCAAGCAGAAGCAATTTAGTGAACACCTGAGAGGGACCAATCTGGTTTTTATTTATGCCTCAACATATGTTATGTTCTTATAGAGGCTGTACATGTACTTGCAACCCTGTCCCCAGGAAGGCTTCGCCTGGCAGCCAGTCAAGGCAAAGAAAGCCTCCAGGGCCGGACTGTCAATGACACTGCCCCGCCACTTTGCCACTGGGGCAAATGCCCGGAAGGGTGCCGGCAAAGGATGCCCAGGAAATGAGACTGTGGGAGGAACAGCAGCACACAAAAGCAGCTAACGGCAACACAACAGGACCCATTTTCTCTGGGTATGTTGGAGGGAGCGGGGGTTTGCCTGTAGGGTCCGCTCAGCCCTTCTCCCTCCTTCTCGCCTTTTCCTCCCTGTGGTCCTGCTTCACCGTTCCCGGAAAACCAGCTTGTCATCGCGACGACCTCGTGCTCTGCCGCGTCCCCAGTGAAGCAGGAGCTGCTGCAGCCAGCTGGCCCTCATGCTTCCCGGGCACAGCCTGCGCCCAGCCGCGCCCGCGGCCGCCTCCCGCAGCACCAGTCTGCCGGCCGCTGTGTTCGCAGCACTGCCTGCCGCACCGGCCGCCGCACCGGCCCGGCTCTGCCCGCCGCACCGGCCTGCCGTAGCACCGGCCCGGCTCTGCCAGGGACCGGCCTGCCGCCGCCCGCAGCCGCCGCGCCCCGACCCTGAAAACCCGCGGCTGCTCCAGGGGGGTGCCCGTGGCCACGGCAGCCCCTTCTCCCCGACGGAAGGAACAAGCAGTCTGCTACTGTTTGGAAATCATGCCCAGCCCACCACAGGAGCTACGGAGACGCAACGCGGTTCACAGCACACACGCTCTGCCTGCTAAGCTGATGCCGAGAGACCACCTGGGTTCTTGTGGTAACGCTGTCCCTGTCTTCTGTTTCTTTCTCCTTCTTTCTTATCCTCTCTCTGCTCCTTTTCCTATCCTCCTTACCAGGAACACTTAACTTTTTTAATCAATAAAAAATTCTTTTATATATTGCCGCGTTCGTATTTTATTTTTGTCCAATAAATCTATCAGAAGAATCCTCCCCCTTTTATAGCAGAACAGGATGACACCCTTTACTGCATTTGCTTTTTTTTTTTTTTTCCTTACAAGTTTGACCTATATGTGCTCTCCTTCCTGTCCCAAAGAGATCAGATCACTGCCTTTCTCTCCAAAATGTCTGGTTCTGCTCATCAATTGTCGGGACCACTCTTAGCTTGGAGAACAATAAGTAAGAAACCTTCTGCCACTTGCATGACACGGGTGTCTGTTCTTCCCACCTGTTCACAGAACCACAGAATAGTTATGGTTGGAAGTGACCGCTGAAGATCATTTAGTACAACCCCCCTGCCATGGCAGGATCACCCAAAGCAGGTGACACAGGAACTCATCCAGGGGAATCTGGATTGTCTCCAGAGAGAGACTCCACACCCTCCCTGGGCAGCCTGTTACAGCTGTCTGCCATTCTCAACGAAAAAGAAAGTTCTTCCTCATGTTGAGGTGGAGCTTCTTATGTTTTATTTTATGGCCATTGCTTCTTGTTCTGTCACTGGGCACCACTGAACCATCTGGCACCATCCTCCTGGCACCTCCCTTTGAGATATTTGTATGTATTAATGATCCATTCTCAGTCTTCTCCAGACTATCCAGATCCAGCTCCCACAGTCTCTCCTCAAAAGAGAAATGCTGCAGGCCACTCATCACCTTTGTAGCTTCTGCTGGACCCTCTCCAGTAGCTCCTTGTCCTTGGGCAGAACCGGACACAGCACTACACGTGCTCCTCACCAGGGACAAGTGGAAGGGCAGGATGACCTCCCTTGACCTCCTGGTCACAGTCTTCCCAATGACCCCCAGGATCCCACTGGCCCTCCTGGCTGAGAGGACACACTACCAGCTCATGGACAGCTTGTCACCCACCAAGATTCCCAGGGCCTTTTCAGCAGAGCTGCTCTCCAGTAATTCAGCCCCCAAACTGTTCTGGTACTGGGGATTATCCCTCCCTAGATGCAGGACCCTACATTTGCCATTACTGAACCTCATTTTGTTTCTCTCCACCAACTTCTTCAGCTTATCAAGGTCCTGCTGAATGGCAGCTCAGCCTTCAGGTATATCAGTCACTCCTTCAGTTCTGTATGATCAGCAAACCTGCTCAGGGCCCATTCTATCCCTTCATACAGGGCAGTGATAAATAAGTTGAATAAGCGTTGATCCCTGGAGAATGCCACTCATACAGACCCTCAGCTGGATTCTATTCCACTGTTCACAACCTTCAGCCATTCAGCCAGTGTTTGATCCATCTCGCTGTCCATTTATCTAAACCACGTTGCCTGAGCATACCTACGAGGATATTGCGGGAGACTATCAAAAGCCTTGATGAAGCTGAGGTAGACACCATCCTCTGCTCTCCCCTTGTCAACCCATCCTGCCTTGCCATCATAGAAGGCTTTCAGATTGGTCCTAATGGATTGTTGAGAGATGTCATTTGAGTTGTCATTTTCTTTCACATGCAGGAAATTTGTGTTTCTGTGTTTCTCCTAGATCAGGCTCCAGGCTAATCCATGAATTTGCAGGTCATCTCCTCTCCTTATTTTTTTCTTGGTCAGACAGTATCTGCTGTGATGCCCAGCAGCCTGATGTGCCACCAGCCTCTCCATAGCTCCACAGTACATTTGTTTGCCTATCAGACATTTCAGCCATTCCCGGAACATCCTAAAGGTCTTCTTCAAGTTATTCACTCACTCAGGTATATAACCTCTCATATAAGATCTTCTCTCTCATTCAGGATGCAAACGTCAGACAGTTCCCCTACCTTAAACATAAAAGAAACTAATCCAACAGCTCCTCCTGTGCTCTAATGAGCACCTGAACTCCTTAATTAGTTTCTCTAATTTCTAAAGATCTGTACTTTTATAGACCAAACTCTGCTAGTGAACCTGCTGATGTGTTTTCCCCTTCAATTCACACCAGCCTACCTCTAGATCCCTTAGTCTGAAGTCCTCTTCTGAGAAAACACAAGAAGAGGTACAAGAGCAGCATCCTTTGGGGAGCTCTTGCAGTAACCTACCACTGCTCCCAAACAGAAGAGATGTCCCTGGCAGTGGGAGATGCAGTAGTGACATTTTAAGACTTATTTTGACATCACCAGGTGAGACAATTAGAAAACATCCCCCAATTCTGCTTGCAGTAGGATTTTTTCATTAGCAGTGTACCCAGTTAAGATTCCTGCAGTGGCAAACAACCTGCTTGTACTATCCCTAATACCTGTCTGAGCTCTGAAGCAGCTTGGTTTGAGCGTCAAGGTCTGCAGGCACTGGAGTCAAAAGGGAGAGAAACCACACAGCTCAGAATACCCAGGTGCCTTCTAGAAGAGAGCCTAAACAGAAGGAAAGAGCTAATGTTTCTAGTAGCTACTCTAACACTCTGACTTTCTGGGTTCAGTGCTGTATTGTGGACTGATCACTCTGAACTCTGGAACAACCTAAGTGGTGTGGTGCACCATGCAGGAGAAGTTATCCACTCTTCCTCTGTATCCACTTAATTTCTCTTAAGTGATAACCTGTATTCAAATTCTCTACCCCTTCTCAATTACAGAAACACCAAAAAAGCCACAGAAGTTAAGCACACAAAATAGAGAAAGGCTAGATTCAAAAGTTATCCAGAAAAAACAGAGATTTATAAAGATGCTTCATGAAACATCACATACTAGTTTTCCAGCAAAGAAAATCAAACTTGCTCCATTGCACAGCTCAGACCAGGTACAGAAAGAACCCAGTTGCCATGAAAAAAGGCCGTTCCATGAGAAACTCATACTTGTCTTGCTGAATAAGTATGTAGCTAATGACACATGACAGTGAGAAGAAAAACGAAAGCCTCATCTTTATGAACCCCTGGAGAACTAGATTTCATCCCTACCAGCCTAGAGCTCCAGTGCAACACTGGATGAACCAGATAAGACAAAACCTTCAGAGGTGGCTGCTAATTCCATGTTTGCTTTCCCAGTCCTCCACCTGAGTCACCTGCATAATGCCATGGGCCCATCATTTTAATCAGTTTAACTTCTGGAATAATTAAACACTTTCCCACTTGTCTGGGGGAGAAGGAGTGGAATTAAACAAATAAACTCCCCAAGGTCAGTCTACACTTGGCAATTTCCTATTGTTTTCTTGTACTGCAGGAGGGCAGAGCTCTGCCCACAGCCTCACTGGAATGCTCCCCAAATAGATCTGTTATTTGATAGAAACTGTGGGCTGAACCAAGAGTATGAAGGGATCCCATAGAGAGGAGTAGGATTTCATACTCAGAGCAGGGTTTGGGGGCTCTGTAGCAAACGGAGCACACAGCGACTGGTGAGGATGAAAAGAAACAATGCTCCTCCACCAAATGAAGCAGGAGCTCTGCAGTACATGATGATGCAGTTACAGGCAGTGTATCCTCTTCCCAAGAATCAGAATTATAATGGCAGAATGGTTTTGGTTTATTATTGGGGTGTTGTGTTTGTTTTTTTCAAGGTGAAGGGAGAAAAAGAATTGCTGAATTTTAACCACCTAATTCTATGAAGACAAAGAGAAGAGAGCAGGGAAAAGGGGAAGCCTTTAAAAGAAAGGCTGCACTACAACAGGAACAGGCATATATGAAGATCCTAATCTCCCCACTGCCAATGAAGTTCAGCTCCAGGCCCCCCACATGGGTCTCTGCTGACAGCCACAATGCCCCCAACAGATGCCAGTCATTTGCTGAACTTATAGCCTGCTCTCTCCTCTAACATCTCCATTCCAAGCTCAGCTGTGTGTTTTCAGAGGCAAAAATGTTTTCAGAGGAAGTCACCAGTCACACCCCAGTCACACCAGTCATACCCCAGCCCACAAAGACAGGACAGATGCTTCTGTTGGCAATACTTTTTTAGGTACCCTATTCCAATCTGTGTCTGTTCTCAAGGATTCCCCATGCTGGACATGGTGAGGTGTTGCAGTGTGATGTCATGGCTTGCCTCAGTTACCCAGGTCCTTCACCCCCTCAACAGCAAGATCCAGCCCCCAACCTCTGGAGCTCGGGGTGTGCCCAGACTTGTCCCCACGTGCCCAGCTGCGACCACAGGTACTGAACAGCGTCTCTGGGGACAAAACACCACAGGTGCTGCTGTTTTGTTCAGCAGCTGGGACCAGGCACACCAAGGCAGTCCCGTCAGTAATATTGGTAACCTCCAGTAGTGAGGGACCATGAGATCTTAATTGAGGGGCTTAGGAGCTGGGCAGAAGTTCTCAGCCCACCTGCTGTGGCTCTGGTCAGGCTTACTCAGACAGAAAGCAGAGATCATTCATGCCACTGAGCACAACTTTTCACTCACTATAATCCTGTGTCAGGGGAGCTCAGTGAAATGACAAACTAGGACAGGAGGTCAAACTGCATCCTGATCACAGCATGTGAGGGCACCCTGTAATTTCCAGCTGCACAGGATACAGCTAGCTCCCCTCAGGTTATAGACAGCATTTTATCCTTTATGACTTCTGCATATCAGCATACAGAGTGCAGTTTCTTACAGAAAAGGAAAGCAACAGTCCTCCCCACCAACTGCTGCCTGCAACACATAAAAAATAAAACCAAATTATTTAGTGGATGTTCTAGTCTTGCAGGAAAGTGTGTGGTAAGAGTTGCAAAAATGGCATAAAGCTGGGATACAGCTGAAAGGGAAGCTGATGACAGGAACTGACAAGCAGGTAGCAGAGAGGTGGTTAGTGGTTCTGTTCAAACTCCCCTATAGAGCCTTGTCCTTATTCCCAAAAAGGGTTTTGCAGGGTATGAGGAATACTAGGTACCTTCTCTGGCCCAGGCTCCCCTTGCAAGGGTAGTCTGACACTGATCCTGGTCTCCAGGTTGCTTCCACTGCTCAGTTTTCGCTATTTCCACAGTCCAGCACAAAAGGACCTGAGACAACACACATGTGCAGTTGATACAGTGCAGAAGGCAGGTGGAAGTGCCAGGTGAGGCTAGCCCATCATCTGGTAAACCATGTGTATGATGCTACCTTGACGACACACACACCCCACCCCACCCTATCCACAAAGTTTGCCTATTTCAGATTTTTTTACCTGCTTCTCTGAGGCAGTCAGGAATCTCTCTTCTACTGCCTCCAAAACACTGTGATGGGGCTCAGCTGTGTCATGCTCTGGATCAGCTCCTCCCTGCAGCACAGCAAGTGAGCAGTCAGTGTCTCTTCATTGGCTATGCTTTCTGTGGGGAAAAAGATTCAGAAACACAAGAGAAGAAATAAGTCAGTCTGAAGAAACTGACAGGTTCCTGAAGCGAGGGAGTCTCTCTGAAAGATCTAAGTGAATAGCAAAGCTCATCCCAAGTACAAGCAGCAGAGGAAGATCACTTTACTATTCTCTTTAAACTCTGTGAAAGGAAAATGTCTCATTTATCTAACAGAGCACAAAGCCATAAAGCAAGCTGGAAGTTAACACCAGGTTTGCAAGGCCACTGTTTTGTGTCAGGCTTGAGTAAAAACGAAGTTTTCAACCCCAAGCCTCAGCTGTACTCACACTGGCTGCCAGCCATTAATCCAGCCCTCCAAGCAGCAGTGGGGAGAGCCCTGCACAGCTACACCTCCGGCTACAGGCAGAAATGCTCCAGGATCTTGGCCAGCATATGATAAACCTCCCACATCCGGATACAGGGTTTCTCTGTAATGTTGCCCACTCACTTTGCCAGAGGCTGAACCCAATTTCCTACCTGCTTGATGTGAGGCTTCTCCACTGCTCTGTTCCCTCTCCAGCAAAGCCACCCTCAGCTCACGATTCATGTCTCGAAACAGCTTCAGAAAAGACGCGAGGGTCTGAGTGTCCAGAGGCCGAACATCCCAAGTGTCACTATCCTGGGTGTAAGCATCCTTAACTTTGCCCAGCTGCTTCTTGAACACTGAATGTTCCTCTCCCTTGGCCAGACAGGCAGCCAGAACCTACAGCAGAACAGAAATGAAGGAAGGTTTAGAGAGCAGAGTCAATTGCCCTATACAGACAGACACAACAAGCGGAACCCTGGAGTTTAGGTCAGGGGATAAAAAATTAAACAGGACAAACAAATAACCACACACACACACACACACACCACTGAATGCAGTCTGGCCTGTGGCCACCCACCCTGAGAAGCAGGGCAACAAGCCCTGCTGCCAGCCCTTATCCATACAGCAAATCCCACAAACTGGAGCTGGTTCCAGCACCAAATGTTTCTTCATGTCCAACTGGCCAAAGACCACTAAGTGTAAAAGACCTGATAAAGCATGAATTTAACACTGCTACTTTGGAAGGCAAAGCTAGGGCAAGAGATACTGGATCTCGCTGCAGAACAAGGAGGGATCACTTGCACAGAAAGCAGAGACCATTTCAAATGGAACTGTCAGGAATCTCCATTCTCAATTATAATGGAATTCTGTCTTCTAAAGAAAACTCTGGAGAGGAGGCGCGCAAACTCCGAGTGCCATGGGCTCTCAGCACACCTGGCAATCAAACCCAGAGCTCCAAAATCTACTTCAGTGACCTGAAACAGCAATCAGAGGCAGACGTGCTTGTACAGTTATGGAAATAAACGGCAAAGAAATAAGCTGGAACTCTTACTCCCATTTCCCCAGAGTCCTTTAATGCTGTAAATATTGCCCTTGAAGACACATGCTCCCCAGCTCTCCAGGAGAGATGCCAGCCTTTTGGAGCAGGCAGCCTTTATTGGAGACTCCAGGGATTCAATAAAGGTACCTTTGAAGTGGGAAGTTCAGCTCAGCTCCAGGGAGAATGGCCATTTTCTGCTGTCAGTGTCATTTTAATTATGATGATAAAAAGCCTGTATGCAACTGCTTGGGGCTGCACCAGGGCTGGTGGACTGGCTTTTCCTAGCAGGTGTAAATGCTCACACATTAGGGCAGTGTGGCAGTGCAATGACCTATTGCAATGACTCTGCAGAGGGGAAACTGCAGCAGTCCCAGCTCTTCCCACTCACAGCAGTTTGCCTGCCAAACAGAGTGTGGACGTGAAGGACTCTGGTATAAAGAAAATACAGATGTGCTGAAGAACAAACATAAAGGTATTTTCTAAATGCAAACATTAATTTGTAATGAGTCTTGATGATCAGATCATGACCATCTCAAGGTTTGCGTGCCTGGCCCCTTCCAGATCAAAATGAGCACGTAAAACACAAAATATCTCCACTCTCACCACCTTAAAGGTGTTCAGATCCTACCAAATCCATGTTTGTACTAATATGGATGACAAGTAAAATGCGTTGTTGCAAAATATTTCTCAATTTTAGGGGTTTTTAATTAAAATCAGCACAACATTGCTACCCAGAGCCCCAGATAACATCACTTCCTCAGCTCATGGATTTGGTTAATAGAAATGAGTTTTCAGTAACTGAAATATTCTGCTATTTATAGGCTCTTTCCAGAAGACATTTCCTTGGACATGTTGCTCAGTGGCAAAAACAGCCTTTTAGAATTGTTATGAAAGAGCACACAGTATACTTCAAACTTACATCGCAGCACTAACAATTCCCAAAGATCCTGGGAAAAAATGGAGAAATACTGATACCAGCAGGAATCCCAACTTCCACTTAGCCATAATGTGCCCCCACATTACAGCCTGATCCACCAGGCTTTCACTGCCTGGGACACTGCAAAACTCTTCATGGCAAATTTGGCACAAATTAGCATACATCCAGCTTCCACATGGGAAGAAGAGACTGCTTTCTGAACTGGGAAACTGCATCACCAAGACCTGACTTAAGCATGGTCAGACTGTGCCACCAAACAGATTCCATGGCACTCCAGAGGTTTGGTCCCCACTGAGGATATCAGTTCTAGTGGCCAAAACACACCCACCTCAGCACCATGGAACACATCACACACCATGGAACAGCCTTCCCAGTTCATCTCAAACATGCTCATGTTCACAGCAGCCCCATTGCAAGCTCTTAACAGGAACCTCTGCAGGTTAAGGATCGAGGAGATAGGTCTCCTGTCTCCATAGCATCTCCACATCTTCCATGTTTTTCCAGAGACCTCAACTGCATGTGCAAATAATGTAGACCCCCCTCCCCGAGCAATGTGCAGTGGCCCATAACTGAAACTAAAGAGGGATGTGAGGAGAGAGGGAGGGCATGCAGCACAGTCATTAGGCCAGCTGGCCATTAACTCTTCTCTGCAGGTGGGTGAGCACAGTTATGGCTTTTCATGCTTTATCCATGCTCCTGCTTCCACCATAAGGGCACATCCAGCAAAAAGCCACTTTATTGACTATTTCTGAGTGATCTCCTTCAAGCATCAGCTTTACAGTGAATGCAAGCATCCAGAGGGTGGTGGGCAGGGATTTGCAAGAGACAAGATTGGGAAGCACCTGCTCAGGGTGGCAGAAAAAGCTGACTCCCTTCAGACCTGAGGGACACTCAGGTACATTGCAGGAGGTCCTGCATTGTGGGGAAACTTCCACAGCCATAATCATCAGTCCTCTGTAAATGCACACTGCTTCAGGTTTTGATGTACAGAAGGTGATGAAAAGATAAAAAAGCAATTGGAAACCTGCTTGGTTAGGGCCTGTTTCACTGCTGGCTCTTCTGTGGCTCTGTGGTTATCCAACCTTTGGAACGTGAGCAGCACTGTTCCATAGGCTGCTGCTGCTCACAGGGTCAGTAGCATGGACAACGCCAGGACTGGCTCCACTTCATCCTCAGAGAAGCCCCCTGGCTGTGACCCCACCATTAAGTCAATCAACCATCAATCAACTATTGTATTGTGCATACAATAATCAGAGAAAAACTATGTTCATGTTTTTCCTTCAGAAACCTAAAGGAAATTTTTTTTAAAGCCTGCATCTGTACATACAGGCAGACCCCAAGAAGGATCTGTGGAAAACACTGACCACACAACAAGAACAAAAGCTCAGCCCAAACTTCTACAAAAATACAACAGAACAGAGGAAAAAAAAGTTCTCTAGTGCTGCCACCATGAAAAACACCACCAAATCCTCACAAGCTCTCTCTTCTAATCAGGATGCAGAAGATAACAGGAAACTTCTTTCTTCTGCCTCATCCAGAAATCCCTGCAGCTGCAAATGAAGGGCGACAATGACTGGACAGGCCCACAGGCAATGGAAATGATCCACAAACACAGTGACATTTATTCTACGTGGGAGAATCAACGCTCTCCCTCTTCATCTGAACCTGGTAGTAGAGGGAACAAATGAGCTGTGCAATAATTTGAATTGAGTTTCTCTAAGAGAGCACAGGAAGATAAGACTTGACATTGGCAAAGCTCTTCTATGCTTCCCTAAATTACTGCAATTTCAGTCTTGTTCTTGTTTCCAAGCAGATTTCATCCAAGCCAAAACCAAATTAGATAGGAATAGTTTATGTGAAATATACAGAGAAACTATAAAACAGAAACAACCCCAAAAATCACACCTCCCTAAACTGAAAAGCAATTCATCTGCATTTTTCAGTCTGGGGAGCAGAACAGAATATCAAACTCAGAGAGAAGCAATAGTTCTCACAAAAGCCAGCCCTGCACCACAAACTTTGTTGGGGAAAAACCCCACAACCAAATGAGTCTCCACTGGAGGTAGGAGGAAATAGGCAGGAACAGTAGAGGGGAGCAGACCAGAGTGCTGCACAGAATAAGATACCATGCAGGGATGAGTTCACCAGCAAAGGAAAATAAATAGAGAGGCATCCAAGGCCAAATTCCACTAAAACCACAGGAACCTGAACACCAGGACAGCCTTGCTGCTAATAGGCAGGCTGACAAAACTCCCCTAAACTTCTATGCTGCCTAGGCTTTACTGCACAAAATAACCAGTGCTTTCCTAGAGAGACCAGCTGCTTCCAAAAGACTCCCAAAAAAGTACTCCCGAGAAATGGGAGATCTCCCCTGCAGGAGGGCAAGCACACCCAGCAAGAATGCTTTCTACACAGAAACAGTGTCACCGGCTTCTAGACACACTTTTACTTGCCCCAAGGCACTGGAGACTTCAAACAAATGACTAGGGAAAGGGGAGGCGGGGGGGGGGGGGGGGTGGA